AAAAAAAAAAAAAAAAAAAAAAAAAAAAAAAAAAAAATTCTACGGTTGGAAATCAGAATGCTACACCCAGACCCAGGAAGCTTCAGTGATTCTGGATCAGCTGCCTCATCTACAACACAGAAGCTTGGTCTAGACCATTTCTAAGGCCTGCTCCATCCTGTTTATCTAAAATCTCGTTTTTCCACTCCCTGTCTTTTACAATCTTTGTGAGCATAAAGTTATCTTAGCATCTTCCTGCCATTCCCATAATATCCTTTCCTAGAATTCTCAAAGATCAGGCAATCTGTCCAGTAATTGTCCCAGTCCCCACTCTTCCTACAGTCCCTAGAAAGGCATCTGTGCCGTGGAAAGAGAGATGGCCTGCTCATGATGGGTGTAGGGAGCAGGGTACAGGCAGGAGCCCTGGGCTGGAGGCCCTCCGGTTTCCCTCTGCCTTCCAGAGGCAATGGCCTGGACTACATGGAGTTCCGCCTCTGGATTGGCCTACATTCAGCCGTCCAGTGCCTTATCCTGGTGGCCACAGATGCCAGCTTTATCATCAAGTATATCACCCGCTTCACTGAGGAAGGCTTCTCCACCCTCATCAGCTTTATCTTCATCTATGATGCCATTAAGAAGATGATTGGTGCCTTCAGGTACTATCCCATCAACACGGACTTCAAGCCTGACTCCATCACCACATACAAATGCGAGTGCGTCGCCCCTGATCCAGGTGACGGGAAACCCCAGGCACACCCCGGGCCCCTACCCCCTCACTCTCCCCCACCACAGCTCTCTGCCAAATGCAGGACACTGAGCCTGTGTGGGAAAGAGCTGTTCAGCCAGGCACTTACTGTTCCAAGGGAACAAATGAAGGATCCTGAACTCAGTTTTTAGAAGGAAACCAAGGGAACCTTAGTAGCCTATTAAAATAAAAGCCACAATATCCGACCTAGGGTTATAATCAGGAAAGTGCAGAGTTAGCCTAGGAAGGAGTAAGGCACAGTTTGCCTCAGTGTGGGGTGGACTGCTGCCCACACCAGAGATAGATGATACTTCATGTCCCTGCCAGCCCTAGCAGTACCCCAACATACCACTGTCAAAATGGTCACATACCTCATAAGGTGAGACCACACCGAAGGGATGAATATCCCTACAAACTGAAACGTTCCAGGGTAGAGGATGTGCCAGACATTCTATTTGAAAACAGCTGGAGAACCTGGAGCTGTTCCACCACTTAGGGATATGAAAAGAGGATGGTCATGTGGAGGGGATTATCTTTACCCTCTGTAACTACGGGATGTAAACAGCATGATAGATGAGGGACAGGAATTACTGGGACCAGATGCTGGCTGGGTTTAGGGAAGAATTTACAATGGAGGGGTCACCATTGTAGAAGGAATCAGCTCCCTTGGTTGGTAGCCAGGTCCTTGGACTCTCTGGATACCAAGGGTGTTGTGAAAGGGATTCCCACACTGGGTAGGAGGAGAAATCTAAGTGCCATTCCTGTGGACTTACTTTCTGGCCAAAACCTGACATCTGGAAAGTTAGCTCCCCATAGTGTCTGACCTCCTACCCTCCTTCACAGTTATACCTGAGCCCCTCCGAGCCTTCAGTGGGAAGTACTCACAGGGCCAAGCCTGCCAGAGTGGGAGCCAGAGAACCCTTCACACAGCATCACACACCAGCTAGACTAGACTCACAGAGAGCAAATTGAGGTCCAGAGACCACCCAAGGTCACACCAAACCTCAGATGTTAATGTTGGCCCTCCTTAAATCTATGGTCAGATTAGAGGAGAGGAAGTAAGTAGACAGTGGATTGCTCAGTCCCTTAATATATTACAGTGGGTAAAAAACTGATCATAAGTCAATCAAATTATCAAGGGTCCTACTTTAGGTGTAATGGAAAATAAAGATGTGCTTCTTGGAAGAAGTTTAGTTTTTGTTATACCCACTCTCCTTGTTACTGCACTGATTTTGTAAGGAAGTCTAGACTTAATTTTTTTCTTTCACTTTTTTCTTTAAGTAATTTTGAGTTATCCTTTCCCAGGGAAACTGAAAAGATCCTACCCTCAGACCTTTATTATTATTGCCCACAGTGAATGCTGCCTCTGTGGCCCAGGCCCCAGCTGGGGACTCATGTGTTCCTTTGTGCCTTTTGAACTCTAAATTGAACTCAGATTTTCCACAAACATGACTTTCAGAAGCACTTGTTCAGAAACAGTCTTATACAGAGAGCTCTGGCTACTCAGAGAATCATTTATGCACAGGAGAAACCACCATCTAGGGGTGCCCTGGAACAGGGGATGTAGGAATATTCATAGCAGAGTAAAAGGGACATCATGAAGCCATCTGTTTTCAAATGTCTTCCCCTCTGTCCCTGCCCTGGTGCCTGATGTCACCTCATTCTTTTGGCTCATGCTATTGTCATGGTTCTCAAATTGTGATTCCCAGAGCAACAGAACCAGGACCATCCAGAGACTTGTCAGAAATGCAGATTCTTAGGCCGCACCTCAGAGCTACTGAATTGGCAGCTCTGGTGTTGGGTCCAAAATATAGCAACCTTTCCAGGTGCTTCTGATGCACTCTCAAGTTTGAGAACTTCTGTTCTCTTAGTCAGTAATACTGAGCCAGTACAAGCTACTAATCCATCAGATGAGACCTTCAGTTTCTTTACAGAGTAAAGGAACTGGACAAGTTAGTTTTGATTAGAAGAATGTGGAAAGGAAAGTTCTAGATATCCAAGAGACTAGGGAGTGGGAACTAGCTTGTTTCATCCTTGTCCATGGACCACCTACTTATACTCCTGGTGTTACTGCAAAATCCAGTCTAGCTATAGCATACTTTCATTCTCTGTCACTCTTCATCATAACATTTTGTTTGGGGGCACTCTCCTTTTATACTTACTCTTGTTTCCATTGTAACTGATTTGTATTCTGTTTATGGATGCTGCAAACACTGATTTGGCTGCTTTCAATCCCAAGTGAGTACCACTTTGTGAACACTGGAACCTTTCTGGAATTTTCCATGCTATATTTCTTCCATCCTCGCCTCAAGTAGCTTTTAGACAAGCCCTGTGAAACTCTTGATATAAACAACATTAAGAGGATGTCAGGTCTGAAAATGTTGGTAGTAGAAAATGTCTGGATTCCTGAGGTCAAACACAGGCAGGGGCCTCCCCTAGCACTTGAGTGTGCAGCCCTGACTCAGCCTTCTTGCCCAGCTTCTCTGTGGCTGTAATTGTGCACAATGTTCTCTTGGTCAGCAATGTGAGGAAAGGTAACAGGTGTCCCTGACTTCTAATAAATGAAGCTTTCTTTATGACAATACTCCTAGACTCCTAGACTCCTAGAAATATTCTGTCCTGGATTGAGACCGAGTTCCTTAATCACCGGCCCAAATGCCCTGGAGTGAACAATTTAGAGGGGACTTATGACCACATTCTGCCCTGTGGACCATTTATTGGAGGTGTTGGGGAGAGCCTCGAGATTAAAATGTACTCTCTGGTTTTCTAGCCAAATGTGAACAGCAGCAGTAGCCAAATGGGGCTTGAAATGCATTTCAGGATATTTGCCCATACACTGGCTGGTAGGCTCTGAGCCCCCATTCCCAAATCTACTGTAGAGAAACTGCTTATTCTGCCTTCGCTTGGAGAAAGGTGAAGAAAAGCTGGCCTTCACTCCCCGCTTGCAGTTGAGGAGGAAGAGAGAAGGGAGGGGATGGTCCTCCAAAAGACCTTTGTAAGAGTGTCTACATCCCCTGAGGGGCTCGGCCCTATGAATGATGTCCTGTCCCTAATGGAAGGAGCAGGAGGCCGACAGAGAGTAGGTAGGAAAGGAAAAGTCCACATGGAAATGAGAGGATGCAGATTATGGTTCCTCTAACTTTCCTCATGGACCTGAAGGGACCCTTAGATGCACTTAGGGACACGGGCTGGTGGAGGGCCATGCATGGCAAAGATGTAGAGTGAACAGCTGAGAACAGCACCTTTGGATTCTTGTTTTGTTGTTTTTTGGAACCAGGAATCAAACTTAGGACCTTGTGCTTGCAAGGCAGGCACGGTGCCACTGAACTAAATCCCCGGCACCTTTGGATTCTTGATATTTCTCTGGGTCTCAGAAAATTTCCTCGTTTTACATTAAAGGGGCAGATTAGAAGATAATATCACAGAAAACAAGTCATTGCAGGCCCAGCTGACCTTAAAAAGCACATATGGAGAGGGGCTGGAGAGAAGGGAAATGCTGGTGCAGGGGAACAGGACAAGGAAGCCCAGTGTGCAGAACTGGGAGGTTTGTAAGCTCTGGGCCAGCCTGCCTGGGATGGGACTGTGACTCCAAGTATGAGCTGTGTGACCTTGGGCAACAGGCAAGTTAGCATCTCTGGGCCTTGGTTACCTCGTCTGTAAAAGAGAAACTTCGTAGACATTTGGGAACTTTACAAATGAATATGTACAAGTATTTGGCGTAGTGCATAGCATGCAATTAGTTCTTTGTGAACATTTTTAAGTCTACCAGCACAGAAACGCATCTAGTGGCCAGTAGGGATTCACAAGACACATTAGTCACCAACTTATCTCAGCAACAGTTTCTGTGTGTCAGTTTCAAAAGCCAGCTGTTCAATATCAGGCCACAGCCATCCTAGACTAACACAACTGTTCTGGTTCTGCTGGGACCTGGGCTCCCTCCCACCAACCTTCCCTCCCCAGGGCAAAGTGAGGAGGGTAAAAAGGGGTGGATATGACCTGCTGTCACAATGGAAGCCAGTCCTTGGCCCCAGGAACTGGAGGGGGATGGAACAGGGAGGTCTGGTAGGGGTCCCAGGCCACTCACCTGAAAGCCACTGACCCTTCCCTGTGTCGTGTGCTTGTCCACAGTGAATACAACTGTCTTCAATGCCTCAGCCCCACTGGCACCAAACACCAACAACTCTCTGGTAAGTCCTTTCCTCTTAGACCAGACATTCAAGTGCTGTTTGTTTGTTTCCAGAAGGAAGGGTATGTGTGTGAAAAACAGAGCTGGGAAACTGAGACCAAAGTACAGCAACCCAAACTCTCAGAAGTTGCCCCCAAGGGCACCTGCAGAGCTTTGTAAATGCATACTTAAGTATATACTGTAAACATCTCTTTTTAAAACTACACCTCGTTCTATTAAATCCATGTCCATAACTACGATTCACACATGAAGAAAGGGGAGGTAAGGGAGAATAGCACACAAGGCTACATACACAGGGTATCAGCATCATTTCTTTTTTTTCTTCCTTGTCCTTCCCTCTCCACCTAGCACCTCCAGTTCCCACCTAATTCCCATTGTTTATTAGTGCCTCACCTCCTGTGACTGATCTGCCCTTTGTGTTCCTCAGTCCTCAGGATTTGCAGGTTTCATCCGCCTTTCCCAATAATGACAAACAGTGGCCCTCAAGAACCACTATCCCAGCCTGAGTAGGTCTAATGGTGAGGCGTTCAAATCCAAGTGAAGAGTAGCACCTAGAAAGCCTGTGGATATTTAGTGTTCCTGAGGTTGCTTAACAAGTTACCTCAGAAGAGGCACCTGATGGCCCTACCTCCACACATCCCCACTGGCAATTTAACCTAAAATTTTTCAAATATCAGATTTTGAGGGAGGAAGAATGGAATCATCAGTACCTATTTCTCAATGGGTATTATGTGCATGACACTGTGTGCACTGAGAGCTAAAAAAGAAATCGGTATGGGGCAGGGGTGTATCTTAGTTGTAGAGAGCTTGCATAGCATGTGCAGGGACCTAGGTTCAATTGCCAGCATCATGAAAAACAAACAAAAACATCAATGTGGCCTCCGTCCTCAATTTTGATTTTGAACCCGAAAAGTTATCGGATGACACAAGCAGGGTGTGCCATGCATCAAATATAGGCCACACATGTACTTCTGACCCTGATTGCAGGAAAGGAGACCTACTGGAGAGGCCAGGGAAAAAGTCTCATGGAGAAAGTAGAATGTGCTTTGATATCCCAGGTGGAGATGAGATTGGCTTGGTAGAGAGAAGCATATTCCAGGCCAAGGGAACATCATACAGAGAGATCAGAAAAGAAAAGCACAAAAACTGTGCAGGGGACAGTGCGTGACCTAAGATGGAGTGAGGGTGGGAGATTGCATGGGGTAAATCACAAGTGACGCAAGGGTCACAGGAGTCAGAGGGGTGAGGAGTGTGGGCACATACAGGAGATGAATCACCAGAATGCAAGACAGCGTGGGAGGGCAGCTCACCAGATCTCCTCACTTGTATCAGTTCCTGCATAACAAACTGTCCTCAAAATTGGTGAATTAAGGCAGCAGCAATTATGATCCTCATGATTCTGTAGGTTGGCTGGCTATTGTGCTCGTCTCACCTGGCCTCACCTATGCTGCTGACCAAGCCAGCAAGCCTGGCCTCTGATGGAACAGCTCAGAGGGCTCAGCCAGTCTCTCCACAGGGGTTCTTCAGTCTTGAGCTTTTCACAGCGTAATTGTCTCACTTCCCAAGAGTATTAGGGCAGAAGCTGCATCTTGAACTGACTCAAAAATCTCTTCCTCACTTACTCTATTAGTCCAGACAGCTCAAGGGCCAGCCCAGATTAAAAGGAGTGGGAAAATAGACTTCCTCTTTGACAGGAGGCCCACCAATGCCACACTGTAAAGTAGTACAGACACGGGGAAGCATGATTCCTTGGGGATCTTATTTATAACAAACTGTTAATCTTGTCTTAATCCAAACATTCATTATAGTTAGTTGCAAGCCTCTGTTTACTTCATTTCACAGCTGTTCTAAATATTTCCACATTAACTTTTAAAAATATTTATTAAATTTTATTATAAATCACTCTCTTCTTCTTCCTCTTGTTACTCTTAGGAATATATAAACACAATCATCCTTTGTGGTTGGGTTCCAAAATACCCTCTGGATGGCAAATTTGTGGATGTGAATTGGTATCATATTTAAATCTATCCTATGTCCATCTTCCTATGTAATTTAAATCATCTCTAGACTACTTACAATACATAATGAAATGTAAACATTATGTAAACAATTATTGTATTGTTTATCGAATAATAATGGGAGAGAGTCCATACGTTCTGGGTATAGATGCAATTTTTTAAAAATGTTTTTAATCTGCAGTTGGGTCAATCCATGGTTACAAAGGAGATATATGGAGATATATATAGAGATATAGATATAGATATCTATATCTATATCTCTCTCTATATATATATATATTTTTTTTTTTTGGCCTGGCCTGGATTTTAGGATCTGGAACACCAAGGAGGGAAGTAACTGAAATGTCCCAAGAAGGGACTGATAAGACTATGACAGGGGAAGAAAAGGAGAGAATAAGCATGAGACTCTAGGACAGAGGTGTCAACAAGACCCACTGAGGTTGATTCACCAAGACAGGAGCCAGGCCTGTGGAGGGAGAGTGATTCCCTACTCTAATGCTGCTCTTTCTTGCTAGCAAAGCAATGTATCCTCTGTGTCAGCTCCTGATCTTCTCAGAAACTGCTTGCTTGTCACTCCTTGAACCAGCCTGTGCCCAGGCTGTGTTGAGGGCACCACTGTGGACTGGCAGCGGGCTGGAATCCCTCAGAGGGTGGACAGATAGGTGGGCTTCCTGGGACTGCAGAGGGAAGGACACAGCTGACCCACCAGGAAGATCCTGACTTTTTATCTCCTGTGCTTGGTCTCCAAGTACATCCCCATTAACCTCACAGCACTGGACTGGTCCCTGCTGAGCAAGAAGGAGTGCCTGAGCTACGGTGGGCGCCTACTTGGGAACTCCTGCCAGTTCATCCCAGACCTGGCACTTATGTCCTTCATCCTTTTCTTTGGGACATACTCCATGACCTTGACCCTGAAGAAGTTCAAGTTCAGCCGCTATTTCCCTACCAAGGTAAGTGCACCCTGCAGTTCCAAAGAACCTAAAATCAGACCTACTAAGTAAGTAAGGTCTCTGCTGAGTCCCTGACATAATGGACACCATATGGGCACTGACCATGGGAGTTTAAGTTAAGGACACATACTACGGAGTCTGAAGGACTAGGTCCCTTGTTTTCAAGCCCCCCTTAACAATACTTGGTCTTTTCAGATTTTTATATTTAACTTTTCTGAATAGTAGTATTTTATTTTGTTTCTTAAATTTTTCATTGCCCTGATGACAAAGGAAGTTGAAAACATATTCATGTATTTATTGGCTACATGGCCATTTGACTTTCTTCCTAGAAGTGTCTGTTTAAATCTCTTGCACATTTTCTTTTGGGTTGTCTTTCTTCTGATTTGTAAGAGTTCTTAATACATTTTGTATAGACCCCTTTTTGTAATAATATGTATTGTCAATATATTTTTTACTGTGTGACTACCTTTTTATTTTTATAACGGGATTGTTTGATAAACAAAAATACTTAGCTTTACTGTAACTTAATACAGTAAACTTTTCCTCAATGAAAATATTGGATGGAGATATCTCCCTAGATTATCTTCAAAAGCATCGCCGGTTTTTTCTTTCATGTTAAATCTACATTCCAGCAGAATTTATTCTGATGTATAGAGTATGAGAGTGTTTCTTTATATTTTTATTAAATAGTCTATTGTTTCAGCATTTTTTTAAAAGGCCATTGTTTCTCCACTGTTTCACAAGGCTTCCTTTGCTATATATCAAATGTTTCTATAGGACATGCTCTTTATTCTGTTTCACTGGTTTATATGTATACCAGTATCACAGTCTACATTTCCATAGCTTATAAATATTTTTAAATTTTTTATTCTTATTAGTATGTTTGCAGTACAAAATGATTATTCTTTATGGGAAGTACATGTACGTAACACACCTTAATTCTGTTAATATTATCTCCCTTTAAGAGTCCCTCCATCTCCCTCCCCATTCCCTCAGTCTCTTTGAAGTCTTTGTACCTTATAGACAAAACTCTTCCCTTGTTCTTTTTACATATTAATATCTTGGGTTTTACACTTCCACATGAATTTTTTTGAGTTTCAAAAATAATCTTTATTTTTAAAAAGAATGTATGTATTATACACACAAAGAAAGAAAAACACAAGAAGCAAAGGACAAAGTCATTCGAAGCCATAGCAGCCTAGTTGGGTGTGGCCTTCTAGGTCCTGTGGGTACACACACAGCGCGCCATTTTGTGTGATTGAGATTATACAGTATGTGTCATGCTTTTCCACACTTCATGAATATTCACCAACTCAAAACCCCAAGGCTATAAGAGTATTTTGGATAACCAAGAATATACCTCACCAATTCAATCTGTTAGAAAAAATTGTAATCCTACCTTTCTTGGGAACAAAAATTTCACTGAAGATAAAAATGACAACAGATCTCTAGAGAGAAGTCTTAGCAGAGTTACAACTGAAATATTGCTGTTCCTTGATGCTCAATTTAAAATGAGACATAAAGCAACACAGTACACCAAACATGTTTTTGAGAGTTATATCTCTACAGATCTCTCCTTTTTTTTTTTTTTTTTTTTTTTTGAGACAGAGTCCTGCTCTGTAATTCAGGCTGGGCTTGAACCCACTACATAGCTCAGGCTGGCCTAGAAATTGTGGGATCCCAAATGCTGGGATTAATGGCATGCACCACTACACCTGACTAGATCTCTATTAAAATATTAACAAGAAGATATTAGCAAGAAGATATGTTCCCACTGCATTATTAACATATCCCTAGTATAGCTAGAAGATGCACACACATCAATGGTTTTCACCAAAATGCAAATCTGCACAAATCTCTCCTGTATGCTTCCGTCCCCGCCTCTACAGCCGGCCTAAGGACAAGTCCTGATACACATTGCCTAGAGGTAGTATAACAATTTCAAGATTTTCTGTCCATTATAACAGAAAGACATTTACATGTTGACTAACTCACTGCCTCCATTTTTTTAATCATACACTATCACCTCAGGACATCTGTAAAGCTTAGATGCTGTGTGATAGCGTATGAACTTTGTATACAATAAGCACAAGTACTTTACCAAAATGCACATACATGTCTATGGTCATAATCTCAAGCCATCTTCCAAACATGGAGATATTAACAAAGAACCTTTGCTTACTCTCACCCTCCCTCCTCTTCCCTCTTCCCCACTTCAGTGACTAAGTTCAGGACCACATCTATCTCCCAGAGGTGGCTTTGACAAAGGTAACTGCCAGAAGATACTTTTTCCTAAAAACTAACTAAAGGACATTTATATAGGTGTTACTTTGCAGCCGAGTGCAGTGGTACACACCTGCAATGTGAGCACTCTGGAGGCAAAGGCAGGAGGACCGATCACTATAAATTAGAGCCTAGACTGGGCCACATAGTGAGTTCAAGGGCAGCCTGAACTACATAGAAAGACCATGTCTCAAAAAACTAAAAAAAAAAAAAATAATATATATAT